TATTGTGGCATCGTTGTTTATGGACACAACAGTTTCTTCAGATAGGTCTGTGGAAGTGGACTAAATTTACCAAAACTGAAGTGTTAGTGTGTTTATTCATTTTAGGTGCCTGAAGGGGAATTCCATATTCCACTTAAGGCTCTTATTTGTTTTGGTAGTTGTGTTTCCATTTATCATCCCATCCTGCCCAGTTTTTAGGTCAACATGCAACTTAATGAGATCTTGCATGCATCCATTATTGGAAGAGAGAAATTCTCTAAAGATTCCTTGCTAATTCCCAATTGTAGTAATAGACCAGAACCAATGTTGCCTTCTTGGAAGGCAAGTGTACTCCTGACTCTCAGTCCACTCATTAGACTTGTCCCATGCTTCCCATCCCTAACCCAGGTTAATATACTTATTCAGTCTTGCTCCCTTGTTTGCAATTAGTGCTGCTTCATGTGTTTCAAGGTTCTTCTACAGAATACATACGTCCAGTGTTCCTCTTGACATTTATAATGGCTCCATTCAAATGTAACACTAGTTATATAATTTAGCTGCATGAACAAGACTTTAGCTCCATTGTACTCTTCCAGCATGGTGATGAGGAAAAGATCAGAAGTGTTTACTTCAATGTGATGTTGAAGGTTTTCATGGCTGGAATCATTGAGTTGCTGTGAGTATTTTGGGCTGTATGGCTGTGTTCCAGAAGCATTTTATCCTGACATTTTGCCCACATCTATGGCAGGCATCCTCAGAAGTTGTGAGGTGTGTTGGAAACTAGGCAAGTGGGGTTTATATATGTGTGAAATGTCCAGGGTTAGAGAAAGAACTCTTGTCAAGGCAAGTGTGAATTTTGCAATTGGCCAACTTGATTAGCACTGAATAGCCTTGCAGCTTCAAAGCCTGGCTACTTCCTGCCTAGGGGAATTCTTTGTTGGGAGGTGTTAGCTAGCTCTGATTGTTTCCTGACTGGAATTCCCCTGTTTTTTGAGGGTGTTGTTCTTTATTTACTGTCCTGATACTAATAGTCAGATTTTGTTCATTTTCATGGTTTCCTCCTTTCTGCTGAAATTGTTCGCATGCAGAAGAGAAAGCTGAGAGGAGACATGATGGCCATGTATAAATATGTGAGGGGAAGTCATAGGGAGGAGGGATCAAACTTGTTTTCTGCTGCCCTGGAGACTAGGATGCAGAACAATGGCTTCAAACTACAGGAAAGGAAATTCCACCTGAACATCAGGAAGAACTTCATGACTGTAAGAGTTGTTCAGCAGTGGAACTCTCTGCCCCAGAGTGTGGTGGAGATTCCTTCATTGGAGGCTTTTAAGCAGAGGCTGGATAGCCATCTGTCGGGGGTGATTTGAATGTGATTTTCCTGCTTCTTGGCAGGGGATTGGACTGGACAGCCCATGAGGTCTCTTCCATTTCTATGATTCTATGTTTCTGTGCTTGTGGATCTCAATGGCTTCTCTGTGTAGTCTGACATGGTGGTTGTTAGAGTTCACTTCAGTTTGCATCTAATGGCAATGAATCATTATAAGTGGATCTGGGCAGAATATAGTTACTCTTATCTGTGACTAACTGAAATTAGACAACTTAAGCCATAGTTTATGAAGATGATTTATTTTTACTAAATCCTAGTTAAGATAATCGCTTTTTGTTGGTTGTAAACTCTAATTGCAGATGAAGATAGACACAAAAGCTTCTGATGTCCCTCTGAGACAGCTTGAATGAGGAAGAGTATGAAAAGGTTAGAGCAGGCATGGGCAAACTTCACCCCTCCAGGTGTTTTAGACTCCAATTCTCAGAAATCCCTGCCAGCTTATTGGCTGTTAGGAATTGTAAGAGTTGAAGTCCAAAACACCTGGAGAACTGAAGTTTGCCCATGTCTGCATTAGAGCAGTGGTTCTCAACCTGGGGTCCCCAGATGTTTTTGGCCTTCAACTCCCAGAAATCCTAACAGGTGGTAAACTATCTGGGATTTCTGGGTGTTATAGGCCAAAAACATCTGGGGACTCCAGATTGAGAACCACTGCGTTAGAGGGTTATGCATATGATGTGGAACCATCCATAGTTGAGTACAGTGGGTTCTCCACTTTCATAGTGGTCAGGGGCACAGGACTCTTGCAAATTAGAAAAACCACACATTTAAAAAAATGACAGAACATATTGCTGGGAATCTCTTGGTCCTCCCACACAACTCTATGGTGAGCTTTCCCCAGACCTTGGTCACAGAGTCCTGCTGAAGGATCTGAAGAGAGATAATGTTGACCTTATCTGCAAAGGTTAAACTTGCAAATGCAGAGAGCTATGTTTAAGTCAATCCAATGACATATATTTATACTTTGTTTTCACATTTGTGCATATTTCTGAAAAATTGATCTGTGCAAACTACAAGTACGTAACATGGTAATTTCTTTCCAGAAGTTTTTTTCCAAGTAGTAGATCTGTCACATTCTGAAACAGAGGTTAATTCATTTTGTAAATTGGAGTGACACCTGTCTTCATACTGTCCATGTGTAATGGAATTCTATACTTGGAAGATTTTCATGTTTGCATTGTTCTCTGCTGCCAATCTGATGGGGCTAAACTTCTGTCTGCTGGCTTTGCTGTAGGAAGATAAAGAATAGTTGCCATCTGTTGTTTCTTTGCATTATGAAAGGCGATGTGGTGGGTGATGCATAGCAGCTACTCTAAAGGGATTTAGAGTACACTCCCCCAGTTTCCTTGTAGGATGCTGCTGCTTTTTCTGGCCTTCCACTGTAAATTACTAAGTTTGAAGGAGAAACTTTTCAGATTTACTAAAGCGGTAGAGCTCCTAGAGCAGTGGTTCTCAACCTGTGGGTCTCCAGGTGTTTTGGCCTACAACTCCCAGAAATCCCAGCCAGTTTACCAGCTGTTAGGATTTCTGGGAGTTGAAGGCCAAAAACATCTGAGGACCCCAGGTTGAGAACCACTGTCCTAGAGTGAATGTACCTTAGTAGTATCTTAATATACCCTGACTTTGAGGTGTGTTAAAATGGAAAGGTAGTCAGAGCTTGGAAACAATTACAAAAACAAGTAACTTAGTATTGATTCCTTTAAAAAATAACTATAATAAAGCAGAGTGCTTTAGCAAGGGATTCCTGCATTGTCTAGAGCAGTGGTTCCCAACCTTTTTTTGACCAGGGATCACTTGATCATGGACCACTTGAACAGGGACCACTCTCTAACGTTAGGACCAAAAGGGTTACGATCACTTTTTGGTCAATTTTAGATTCAGTTTGGTTATTTGGGGTGCTGATTCAGAAAATTGCAATGGATAGGCCACATCAGCTCTAGTTTCTAGAGCCACCCAGTAGTCGCCATCTGCTCACCCACAGAAAACCATATTTAATAATCTAGAGCTGATGTAGTAGTAGCAATCTTTCATGGGTAGTCAGCCTCTCCCTCCTGAAATCCCAGTTGCCTTGGCATGATAAGAGGGTTTCGTGAGACCAGTCTGTCTCGTTGCCACATGCTTTTGAGGCAATGTAGTAATGGTGAGGCCACGGACCATATTTTCATTCTTGTGAACCACTGGTGTTCCATGGACCACAGGTTGGGAACCACTGGACTAGAGTTTGAACTACATCAGAGTTTGAACTTTTCACACATTTCCTGTTGGTGACACATTTTTTTAGACACCTAAAAGTACTTTCAAATAACAACGAAGTTACAAGAAACATCAGATTTTTGTGTGGCACATCTAAGATATGAAACGGTATGAACTTAAATGGACTATTGGGGTTAACTTTTCAGGTGTAAGGCATACAATCTTTAAAGGTCAGCAGTGTGTACAGTGTCTCTGTCTTAAAGAATCCACAAAGGAGTTACATAACTCCTTGTTTTCTTTTGTAACGTACTTAACACATGCCCTTAACTTTTAAAAAATATTTAACAAACCACTTTGAAGTGAGGTTTGAACTGTAACTGCAAATTTATTTATTTATTTACTACATTTATATACCGCCTTTCTCCCTCTGAGGAAACTCAAAGAAATTTCCAACATAATAAAGACAAAATTCAATGCCGTACATACATGTACAAACCAAGACAATAACATATCACTATAAATTAAAAACCTAACCATATTAAAGCATCAAATAACATTCGGACATAAAACGTAAAACATTAAATATCAGTAATACAATATCATAATTTAGAAACAGTTATTAAAATCATGCCATCCAACATCATATCCATAGTCATTCCATTGGTCCATTCACTATTCCTTATTCTCTTATTGCACAAAGAACTTTGCTGTCCAAAAGTTTGATCACATAACCACGTCTTTACTTTTTTCCTGAAGGTCAGGAGGGAGGGGGCTGCTCTAATTTCGCTAGGGAGGGAGTTCCATAGTCGAGGGGCCACCACTGAGAAGGCCCTGTCTCTCATCCCCACCAGTTGCACTTGCGAGGGTGGTGGAATCGAGAGCAGGCCTTCCCCAGAAGATCTTAATCTCTGAGGTGGATCATAGAGGGAGATATGTTTGGACAGGTAATCTGGGCCGGAACATTTTAGGGCCTTATAGGCTAAATCTAGCACTTTGAATTGTGCTTGGTTCCAGTCTGGCAGTCAGCGGAGCTGGTGTAACAGGGGGGTTTCTATGTTCCCTGTATGCTGCCCCATTTAGAAATCTGTTTGCCTCCTGTTGGACCACTTGAAGCTTTTGAACTCCACATAGAGCGCATTGCAGCAGTCTATCCTTGATGTTAACAAGACCACCGTGGCCAAATCACTGCTTTTTAAAAGAATAAGTTTCTAAGCTGTGACTGAGCCCACATGTCTTTTTCTTTTGATACCAAACAACTAAAATAATATTGGTGGAGGCATAAGATCTTGTCTTTTTGGTGTTGCACAAAGGATTATACCTTCTTACAGCTTGAAGGGAGGAGATGTTTTGTCAGTTTTATGGCTTGAAAGAAGGGAACAAGAGAGTGACCAGTGAGCACACTGGACATTCTGTCTTTGCAAATGCCATTTGTGTTTCTCTCCAGGTGACCATGGTGGACAGAGCCTCCGCTGATCGGGCATGCAAGGATCCCAATCCCATTATCGACGGCCGGAAAGCAAATGTCAACCTAGCATATTTGGGAGCAAAACCAAGGAGTATTCAAACCGGTGAGGCATACTTTTCTCTCTCTTTTCCTCTCCCCATTTTGTCAGGCTTGGGCTTAAATTAGTTCATGGTCTCCCTGGATTTGAATGGGACAATCCAAATAGGGCTCTGTGTGTATGTGTGTGTGTATTCTGTACCCCAGGAAGCCCATTCTACCGTCCAAATAAACACTGCACATTAAGCTTATTTTGTGCAATTGTTTCTGCTGCCAAGAATGATGGGGCTTCAAAGCTATTAGCACTCTCTTGGCAAACGGCGGAGGAACTGAAGCAGAGAAAGGCAGCAGCCGGCCATGCAATGGTGTGTGCGCTCCAGTTCCAAACAGCTGAGCATGGAGGGCCCATGTGCTTATGGACAGCCACTGCTGTGTGGCCAACGATGAGATCACTCTCTGTTGCTGACTACTGTAGACTCAAGTTCAGAAGAAGGCTCACAGGCTACAATAGCCAGCCATGAAATATTTGTGTTGGAAGGGGCCACAAGAGCCATCTAGCCCATCTCCTTGCCATGGACAGATACAGAACTAAAACACTCCTGAAAGATGTCCCCCAAAAAATGAGAACCCACCTCCCTCTGAGGCAATCCTATTCCATTGTCAAATAGATCTTACGTTCTTTCTGATGTTTACATGGAATCTCCTTACTTGTTATTTTAATCTATCAGTTCATGTTCTGGGCCCTGAAACCGCAGAAGACCAATTTGTTCAATTGTCTATATGATCTTTAAGATAGTTAAAGATAGCAATCATGTCACCTCTTCTCCAAGCTAAGTGCATCATTTCCCTAAGTAATTCTTATTAAGACTTGGGGACCTTCCAGACAGGCCCTATATTACAGGATCTGATCCCAGGTTTTCTGTTTATCCCAGATTATCTGGCAGTGTAGACTCATATAATCCAGTTTAAAACAGAAAACCTGGGATCAGATCCTGGGGGTATAGGGCCTGTCTGGAAGGACCCTCCATTTCTAGATCTCTGATTGTTTTTCTTGCTCTTTGCTAGACACATTCCAGTTGAGTATGACACTATGTAAGTTGCAGTGCCCAGAATCCTCCAGGTAGGATAGCCATGCTGGGAGAAGACACATTTTCTGGCTTTTGGGTAGTCAAGGGTTTGAGCCACAGTGTCAAAATTACATACTGTTTGGAACTACCTTTGACAAAAGCCTTGCAGGTCCAGAATGTCAACTGAGGCCAATTATAGGGATTCTTACATTGTTTGTGTTGGGGAGGTGGATACCAGAATGGAAATCAGAAGTGAAGGCTGACAAAAGGAGGGAAAAATATCCCTCGTTGCCCATTGGAAGAAGTCTTCAAGTCTCTAGAAGGCTCAAACTATTTTTGTTTGATGGAAATATTAGTCAAAAATTGACCGCTAAAACGTAGGTTGACTAATCCATGAGTCAATGTAATTTACTTATTATGAAAGAAGGAACCATCCCCTTCTCTGAGCGGAAGTGACAAAAACCAAGCACGTGGTCTGACCTAAAACAACCTAAAAGTAGCAACCACCATCTGCTCTCTCCACAATAGTGCTACTTCTGGCCCTTTTAAAGCCTTCATTAAAAAGGCATTAAAAAGGCCTACTTATCTTTGCTTGTTAGATATTATATACCATTTTAGTTTTAATGTTTTTAGTCTAGTTTTTAAGTTTTAAGAGCTTATTACGTTGTAAATGTGTATGCAGTTCTATGTTATGTTTATTTAAGTTGCTATTTTTATAATTTTTACTGAGTTTGTTTACCCACTGTTTGATTTGTTATTTGTTGTTTTGAGATTGAATGTTTGCCACTATGTTATTTCTGCTATAAAGTGCCCTGAGTCCCTTCGGGGAGATAGGGTGGGTTATAAATAAATGGCTGGAATCACTGGGTTGTTGTAGGTTTTTCGGGCTGTATGGCCATGTTCTAGAGGCATTCTCTCCTGACGTTTCACCTGCATCTATGGCAAGCATCCTCAGAGGTTGTGAGGTCTGTTGGAACTAGGAAAAAGGGTTTATATATCTGTGGAATGACCAGGGTGAGACAAAGGACTCTTGTCTGCTGGAGCTAGGTGTGAATGTTTCAACTGACCACCTTGATTAGCATACAATGGGCTGACTTTGATTATTTTTCCTACTGCCAACAGACCTCACTACCTCTGAGGATGCTTGCCATAGATGCAGGCGAAAACGTCAGGAGAGAATGCTTCTAGAACATGGCCATATAGCGCAAAAAACCTACAACAACCCAGTGACTCCAACCATGAAAGCCTTTGATATTATTATTATTATTATTATTAATGGGAAAATGGTGGGCATGGATTTTTGGTGCCTCCTTTTGAATGAGTACTGAGAATACAAGAAGCTAATGCTTCTTTTAGGTTCTCCTGGAATGAACTAAACTCCAACTTTTGTCACTCATAGAAGGGGATGGTTCTTTTTTTTTTACAAGAGTTAAAACTATACCTCATTTTTTATCAAAAAAGAAACAGCACTTATCTATGAATAGGGTAGCAGAAGACCATTTTAAATGCCTGGGCAGGAAGGTGGCCATGACCAGAGGCAGATGGCTTCCCAAGGTGGTGCTGATGCTTCACTTTTGCAAAATGACCTTCAACCAGGCATGGGCAAACTTTGGCTCTCCAGGTGTTTTGGACTTCAACTCCTACAATTCCTAACAGCCTGTTAGGAATTGTGGGAGTTGAAGACCAAAACACCTGCAGGGCCAAAGTTTGCCCATGCCTGCCCTCGACTTATCCACAGGTTTTGTCTAAATCCATACTTTTGGTTCCAGAACTAACCTCGACTTATACATGAGATCAACTTACACAGAAGATTTATCTGATTGGTTATTTTATTTTACGAGGACATATTATTAGGTTTGGATAAAAAGAATATGCTGAAATATGTTGACACACCTTTTTGTGTGTGACATAGGAACCAAGCTTTATCTCTTCCATGTTATTTCTACCACTGGTAGCAGAAGAAATGCCCAGAAACACATACTGAATGAGGTATACCTGTACAGCAACCCCACTTCATTCTTGGGTATCCTACATTCACAATTTTCTTCTGCTATGAAATAATAATGTAAGGTTTCACATTATTGAATAACAGCAGTTATATCTTCCTCCAAAAAGTGATGGCTGGTAGCTTAAGATGTTAGTGAGATACTTGCTGTCTAAGGGGAAACAGTAGGTTAACATACTGGAGATGTGCTTAAAAGCAAAGGTAAAGGTTTCACCTGATATTAAGTCTAGTTGTGTCCGATTCTGGGCGATAGTGCTCATCTCCATTTCTAAGCCAAAGAGCTGGCATTGTCCGTAGATGCCTCCAAGGTCATGTGACCAGCATGACTGCATGGAGCGCCGTTACCTTCCTGCCAAGGTGGTACCTATTGATCTACTCACATTTGCATGTTTTTAAACTACTAGGTTGGTAGAAGTTGGGTCTAATAGTGGAAGCTCACCCTGCTCCCTGAATTTGAACCACCAACCTTTCAGTCTGCAAATTCAGCAGCTCAGTGGTTTAACCCATTGCACTACTAGATATGTATATGCAATCGTAAATCCAAGGGCCAGGGGAACCTCTGAAGCTTCTCAAGCTGTAGCGAAGACTGATGAAAGTAAAGAAAGAGTAGATGCACAAACCAAAGTATATTTCACAACTGAATGGAATGAGACACAACTCTGAATAGGCAGGCCTATTGCACTTATGAATAAGCTGTTAGTTGCATGGACTAATCTGACATTGCTGTTGTAAATTTTCCCTAGGTTTTACTTTAGGAGTGCAGCAGTTACATCCAGCTCTCATTCAGCGACCTTATGGGTAAGCAGAATTTGTTTTACAATCTTTATGAATTATTATTGCTATTATTATTATCATCATTGTCTTCAGCCAGTTTGAATAACCACAGAAAGTGGTAAGGTGTCTGCTAATTTCTTTCTGTTTTGGTAAACTTTTCAAAAAGTTGTGTGTAGCTCTCCCTTGCTCTTTTCAACTTATTGTGGCTCTATTTCCACAAATCAGAAATCATGTCTTGGATCTTTTTTCATCCCCTGCTAAGGATGTTTTGAGTTTTCTTGTTTTTCACAACCCTCACCATCCCATTTTCCTCTTGAGATTGTAAGCCTGCCAGTATGGATTGTTGGTATGTATTTCTGTTTATGGGTTTAATAAGCTACTCTGAGTCTGTGGAATGGGACCTCAGTGTTACTAGATATTTGAAAAACAAATGAAAGAATCTCGAGAGAAATCTGTTCTACCTTTTCCTGTGAACCTACCTGTCACACACACCCCACTCACTGCTGTATGTCCCTTTCATGCCCTCATCCAGTTTTCCCCATCTGCTCAGTTACTTTAAATCAGTGTGCGTGATATAGGAGAAATAGATCTGTTGGGTTCTTTTCTACATGGGGATTGATGCATGGAAAGTTTCTGTGCATGACAATATTGCCACTCACTCAACCAGTGAGTTCAACTGCAAGGAATTTCTTTTTTCTGTGTTTTTCGTCTGCCCCCTATTTGAAATGTTGAAGCACTTCATTAATAATGATCCACTGAACTTCTGTTTCCCATGGATGCACTGTGAAGGTCTTCTGAATCATCGGAAATGATTTATGTCAGTGCAGGAATTTAACATTTCTGGGCTTCTGATGACATTGTGTCCATAAAATCATAGAATTGGAAGAGACCTCATAGGACATCCAGTCCAACCCCCTGCCAGGAAGCAGGAAAATCTCATTCAAAGCACCCCCAACAGATGGCCATCCAGCCTCTATTTAAAACCCTCCAAAGAAGGAGCCTTCAGGAGCAAAGCAAGCTAGAAGAACTTTGGGAGTTGTAATCTCCCAAAAGTTACTTTTTCAAATTCTTCAAAGGGCCCCAACAAGTTGAAGGGGCCTTGTTAAACACAAGCAATGTTATTGTGGTATATTTGTGTGTTATTTAGTTTAGTTTTTGCACAGTTCTCGTTTAAATGGGGCCCATGCAGGAGGCCTGTGCTGTGTGGGTTGTGCGTCTCTGCTTTTGTGCTCCGTGGAACAATTCCAGCCCAGAAAATGAATTGCATTAGGACACAAAGTCTAATATTCGCTGAAAGAAACATTAGGTCAAAAATTGATTATGGACAGATGTTATGCGGGGCTTGAAGAGTCTACGAAGTGAGCCATTGTCTCCAGTTTTCAATAGAATATCTCATCCCTTCCCAGTCCAAAACATTCCCTTTTTATGCACCTAATAGGATCTGGCAGCTGCTTTGGAAGACAAGGGGACTCTGAGACAACAATAGCAACTGTCATGCTACCTTCGTTTAACTGTTTAATGACTGATGTAAAAAATATCCAAAAATGTTGCTGTGCATCTTGTGTGCGTATGTTCCTAAAGAAGATGAGGAAAGTACTGTATGTTTTCTTTTCTGAGTGAGAAAGGCTTTGGAAGGCAGCTATTTTTAAGGGATTTTCCTTCCAAGTAGATTAATAATTAATTTTCCCTCTTTGTCTTCCACACATTGGCTGCCTTTTTGCTTCCAACATTCCTGTTCTTCATTAGACAAATATTAAGTCCATGCTTCTAAAGGTCTTGCTTCTGTTCAGAATGTCATTGTCATGACACACAAATAGTACCTGTTTTGGATGTGCTCGAAGAAAGGGCATTCCTAAATAAGGTATAGTTCTTGTTCTTAATATCCTCATGTGGGTCTTTTCCCCCTTCCTTTTTCTTTAAAGAGGACAGTGTGAAAACAATAGCAAACCTCCAGTGTGTTCAGTGTACTTGCAAATTCTCTTCCTCTCTGTATGTTAATAGCCAAGTAGCTCAGTTGCTGACATTTCCTAACTTTGCAATTCTTGGCTAACGTAGGCATTTTCAAAACTGATTTCAGAAGTAGATTCTTGCATTTTTAACCACCACCCACCACAACATTGAAAATAGAAGGCGTGTTAATGGTAATGTACTATGAATACTGAGCTTATAACCATTGAAACTTGTGCTAAAATGCTTATTAGTAGAGCTTTTAATAGCATGCTAGTTGCTATATAGAACAAAGCATCACTTCACAGCAGCTTAAAGTTCAGTTGACAGGCCAGCAGTAGATGGGTTATGGAATGAGGAGCACAAAGTAGAAAAGGAAAACACAACAAAGCACTCTAAATTTTCCAGCCCGGCATTGAATAAACAGGCTGGAAATTGACCATTGCCTATCTGACAGAAGTGGCTTTCAGCAAATCCACTTTCCAGGGAAGAGAGAGCTTTTGATTTTAATAGTCCAGAAGGGAAAAGGAGCTGCATTTATTTATTTGTCTCAATTATATGACACCTTTCTCCCAGAGTGGGACCTCAAGGCTAAATTAGTCTTCTAGAAAAAAGTGAATAAGATTTTGGAGGCAAGTCTTATGTTCTTTAATTCTTGGTGGCATCTTTCCCCCTTTTCCTATTCGAACTCCTCTGTTTCCTTTTTCAAAGCTGCTTCTTCCATGCAGTTTTTGGATGGATAGTTGTGTTACTGTATTTGGGGATGGGCAATTGGTGGAGTATGGAACCCAATGTTGTTTGTTTATGGCCACCCTTCAGGATTCAGTGATGTGTTTCATCCTTGGACTGCACAAGTTTTTGTGTCATCAAGTTTCTAGTCCTCAATGAGTAGTTAGACTAGAGGCCCATATGAGGTTGACAGTCTGGCACTTTAGTTGTGAATTGACGACAACTAGTTTTAACTACAGATTGTCAGCGTTTTAAAATTGTGTTATTTTGTGTGTTGATAGTGGTTGTTTTTATAATTTTTATGTGATACTGTTTTTATACAAATATAACGTTTTATGTTATGCTGCACTTGGAGTGCCTTGTAAGCCACCCCAAGTACCTTTTGGGAGATGGTGGCGAGATATAAATAAAGATGATGATGATGATGATGATGGTGATGATGATGATGATGATGGTGATGATGATGATGATTAGAGACAGGGCTAAGCTCAGGGACTCCTTTTCCCACATTCCAATGCATGTCTCCCAAAAGTGATTTGTCTTTATCTTTACTGCTAGCCACTGTCTATTCCCCTTTTGATGATGTAGTATTGGAATTCTGTGAGGGAACTCCCTCTGAAGTTTGAACTGCCCTGGGAAAGCCATGTGGTCTCTATCATGTTTTAGCTCTTCTGCTTTCCTTTCTCCCAGTGGGGATGCATTTTGCCTCTCTGCAGGCAAAATGTAGCTGCATGGACATTTTTAAAAAAAATCTTTTGCCTTCTTTAGACAATGAGATTTAGTAAACTAGTTATCTCCAAGATTTTTCTAACAAGAATGTATTTCTTTTTTACTTTAATAAATATTTTTGAACCCATAGTTCTGACTCTATAATCCTGAGCCATCTTAAAGATTAGAAGGCCATCCCTTCTCACCACACATAAGTTTTTGCTGGTTATGGAGTTCACTCCTGGTACTCTGCTATATTTTTGTAGAATTCCTTAATAGAGGGTTATTTTTGAGCGTAACAGCTCAGATTCGCCAACACAGAGGCAATTTTCCACATTTTGGGGCACAATTTTAGATGCAGAAGAGTCTTTTGAATAGGAAATAGCCCTGTCTGGCCACTGAAAGCTACAAGATGACTAGGGGAAGTCAAATGACTTTGGGCAAAGAAGGCCAAGACAAATCCCCTTTGAATAAATCTTGCCAAAACCCCACAAGTAATTTGCCTTATAGAGACCATAATACAGGCATGACTTGAAGGCACACAGCAACAACAAAATGGAAATTGACTCCCAAGTTACCTCGTTTTTAGAAAGGCTTCTTTTGAGCCTAAAGCAGATTGGTGAAATAAGGAGCGGGGAAAGAGATGAAGTTGCTCCCCATTTGGGCTCTAAAGTGTTCTGTATTTTTGACTAAGGCTCCAGGAGGGCAATAAAGCCCCTCAACCCTGTTGATTGCTCACCTTTGCTATCTGAAAAATGGAAGAAGGGGGGAATGAGTCTTTTATATCAGTAAAAGGGTACAGGTTGCAGAAAAAATATTGATATTGTAAACAAATCTTCAAAGGGTTGGTGCAGCATAAACATTGTGGCACCTGTAAACTAATATGCAGGTCTGTAAGTCGGCAGCCTATTAATTATCTCTAAAGTTTTGAAGAAATGCTGTATACTTCATTCAGGAGAGTTAGTTTGATTGTAGGAAGAGTTCCTCTTAAAGATTCTTTTTTTCATGTCGGGAGTGACTTGAGAAACTGCAAGTTGCTTCTGGTGTGAGAGCATTGGCCGTCTGCAAGGATGTTGTCTGGGGGATACCCTGATGTTTAATGTTTTACCATCCTTGTGGGAGGCTTCACTCATGTCCCCACATGGGGAGCTGGAGCTGACAGAAAGAGCTCAACCCGCTCTCCCTGGATTTGAACCGCTAACCTCTCGGTTAGCGGTCCTGTCGACACAACGGTTTAACCCATTGCGCCACCAGGGGCTCCTCTCTTAAAGATGCCACAATAATAATGAACACACGTGTACTATGTGTGTGATGATAAGAAGGAATAAACTGGAACTTGTGAATGTACTCCAGTATTTCCTCTGCAGTCCTTTCTTGAAATTCCCCTTTTCCAACAACAGCCAAGATGTCCTGAGAACTAAAGATCATCTGGCACTGTGTATTGGTATGTCTATTGTCAGATTTACACTCATTTAGCTTTATGCATAGTACTATGTTTGTCTCATGTAGAGTGGATGGGACATTGCTAACAGAAAATGACATGGTTTACATTGGAAGATGTTCACATACATAAAACCTTGTTTTTTTTTTTTTTGAGTAACATTATTAGGACCTCTAATTGTAAGGATACAAGTAGAGAC